TGGTCTGCTGGGGACCATCTCCAGCAGACCAGGGACACCGGGAGCAAAGGAGGGGGAGGGGCGCTGGCATATAAGATGAAACCCTATCTTTTAATTAAAAAGATAGGGGGTCGTCTTATACGCCCAGTCGCCCTATACGCTGGAAAATACGGTATACAAATCTTGTGCAAGGGAGTTTTTGCGCAAAACAGATCTATCTACATTGCCTGTTTTTGCGCAAAAACCTCTTGCGCAAAAAGCCTCGGGCAGAGAATATGCTAATGACATCACAACAAATGCTAATGAGCACTTCATTAGCATACTCTCTGCTGGCAAAACCCTGTAGTATAGACGTAGCTAAGAGTTTAGATTCAAGATTATGTTTTGGTCCCACCTCTGCAGAGCAGTGTACAGGTCAAGTATCACGAAAGATGGATGGTCACCCAGCTCGCCGAATGTTTTGCTTGCCAGACTCTTTTCTTAAGTGCCCCATTAAGAGATAGTTCTCTCTTTTGGATTCTCTTACAGATTTGAGGCTCCTGTCGAACTTGATATGGAGGTTTTCCAGAGCTGTCTGGGTGATGCTTTTTCCATAGCAATTGTTGGATTTGCAGTAGCTTATTCAGTTGCTAAAGTATATTCCATCAAATATGATTATCCCATAAATGGCAACCAGGTAAACAAGATACATTTAAATTAATATAACTAATAAATTGAAAATGAACATAACTTTAGGAATGCCCTGCCTTATGAACTATTTTTCCAGAACTATTTATTTTTTAAAACTTCATGTTCATTATTCTGCTAGGAATTAATTGCCTTTGGACTGAGTAATATATTTGGTGGAGCGTTCAGAGGATTTGCTGCAAGTACATCACTGTCAAGATCAGGTGTACAAGTCAGCACAGGAGGCAAAACACAGGTATTGAAAATACAGGACGTTGATAGAGCTGAATGCTACAGGCTGCACAGAATGCTCTAGAATGCAGACTTACAGTGAAATCCTTTTCGTCCACAGATTGCTGGTCTACTCTCTGCTCTTATTGTCCTGATTGTCATTCTGGCCATTGGATTTCTCCTGGAACCCTTACAGAAGGTATTCTCCATTTTTGCATGGTATTTACTCCTGCTCATCAAGGGCCTGATGTTGCTCCAGCTAGAGTCCATAAGAGTACGTCTACACAGCAGGGCTAAAGTCGAATTAAGCTTTGCAACTTCAGCTACTTCAACTGTGTAGCTGAAGTCGAAATAGCTTAATTTGGCTTTTGGTGCTATCTACACAGAAGAATAGTAATAGAAATGTAGCCGTGTTAGTCTGGTGTAGCTGAAGCAAAATGCAGGACTATGTAGCACTTTGCAGAAGCTTCCACATAATCCAGTTCATGTTAAATTCTATAAGACGCCTTTCATAAGGGATGGGACATTTGGGACACGCAGCTGTCCTTTCCTTCCTCTGCAGCTCCTTATTAGGGAACCTGCAGAGAAGTTAGTACAGTCTGACATGTTACTTCGGCATGGCCACCCAAACCTGACAGAAATGAACAAATAAACTTCTAAATAGATAGAACCAGATTCTCACTAATCAGGTGCCTTGCTTCTCTAGCTAAGGGGCCATGCTCAAATGCAGCCCTTGGTCTTTTCTAAGCCTTCTGTGCCTTGCTAGTGCCCTAAAGGAAATTTGGGAGGGGTGGGAGAGAAGGAGGAAGAGGTGACAGTGAAAGGGAGAGCTGATGGGGGGGCAACTACTCCCTGTCCCTTCCCCAGTAGCCTTCATGTGTATATGTGACACCTTTTCAAGGATGCTGTGCAACTCATGAAAGACATTTACAGCACAAATTTTCACATGGGGCTACACCACATTCCTCTGGCAGCTGTGGCTCCTGTCCCACAGAGGTGGGCCAGGCTCCCTGCTCCATGTGTTGTGACATAGCACATGGGGTGATATGGAGTCATGGCCCTGTGTACCATCAGCCCAGCTTGGCCCAGCTCTGGCTGTCCATCATGGCAGGCCAGAATGGCACTACAATCATATGAGCCAGGTCACAATACTCCCAGCAGCATCCAGGTCCATCCCCAAGTGACAGACAACACCACTGCTGGGTGAGTGCAGGGTCAGCTCACTCTCTGTCTCCCACCCAAGGCCCTCTGCACTGGCCAGGTATGGAGAGTTGTGCTGTGGGTGATCAGTGCCACCAATGACCCACCAAAACTGCCTTCCTCACAGACTGGCCCCATCAGTGTTGTGGCCACACTTTCTGCACTGACCAGTGCAGCAGACCAGCCCCAAATAGAAGTACATGCAACACTGTCTTAAAGGGAAGTGCAGAAGACATCTGCATCCCACCTAATACATTCCTGTCTCTTAATGGCACATAGTGGCCCATGACATCAGTGTAGCAGGAAGGACCCATTGTCCTCAGATCCATGCTCTGTGTCTATTACTAGAGTCTTGTGATTATAACATTTGGCATTTGCTCTGTTTTGTGTTTAACAGTCAGTCCTTGCGGCTCTGGCACTTGGCAATTTAAAGGGGATGCTTATGCAGTTCAAAGAAATAGGTATTTTGTGGAAAAAGGACAAATATGATTGTGTAAGTAACAGCCAATTTACACTTCAGAATAAAATCTGATTGCACAGGCATTTATTTTGCAAAAACATTTATTTTTAAAAGTTTGCCTTGATTTATGGTATTGAACATATCTCTGACCTGCATTTTTCTTTTATACAAAACTTCTTTCTCCAGATGTTTTTTTCCCACTCATTCTCATCTCTTTTAGCTCAGTTCTCTCTTTAATTTTCATGTAGCACTTTAAAGACTATACTAGACTATGCGTTGTTTTTTAAGTTTTTCTTGTTACAGACTAACTCAGCTCCCCCTCTGAAGCTTTTTAATTTTCATATTCACCCATTTCTTCAGTCTTCTTCATTTTAAAAAAATCCTACTATTTAAGGTCAATTGTAGAAAGAAGTGACAGAAAAATTGGTAAATATTGGGCCTGTTGGCAACACATTTATGGACCTATTTTCACTTCAATTCAAGCATTTACTCCCATGACTGCCAATGAGAGCTATGTAAAGCAAGTGGAGAAGATAGCTTATGGGGTAGCTTAGTAATTACTGCTAATAATAAAGGTATAGATGATGACTGAAAGGCATCATTGCTTGCTGACAAGGTATACCTCTGACCTAGGTTCAGAGCCCAACAATGCTACTTTCTTTTTGTGTTACTTAACAGCAATGGGCCTCAGCTTTTTCCGGCTTGAAAGTGAGGGTATGGCTCTTTACCCCTCACGATGAAACATTTTGAGGCCAGTGATAAAAAATTCCAAGTGTTATCATAACTATTATTTAAAAATTTCCTGTTTTCAATTAAATTCATTTATAGTAGCTAAACCTTTCTGTCTGGACATGTGATATATTCACAAATATTACATTTCCCAATATCAGGATTTACATTCAACTGTGTCCTTTTGCCAGATTTTTTAAGAGCATTCCACCAGTTTTGTATGAAGTCACGCTTTTTAGTATATCAGCATGCTACAACTATTGTACAGCATTCAGCTTCAAAAAGACTTTCCAAAATTAACTAAACTATCCTTCCAGCACTCTCATGAGATTGGTAAATCTCGCTCTCTAAACTCTGTAAACCAAGAATAATTTTTACCCAGGAGCATAGGCATTGGTCAGATAAGAGCCCAGTTTAGCACTCAGGAGCTCCTGTTTCCCTATATGGCTGTGACTACATTGGCATGATTTTGCGCAAAAGCGACCACTTTTGCGCAAAAACATGCTGCCTGTCTACACTGGTGGGGAGTTCTTGTGCAAGAACACTGACCTTCTAATGTGTGAAATCAGTGCTTCTTGCACAAGAACTATGAAGCTCCTGCTCAGGAATAAGCCCTCTTGCGCAACTGTTCTTGCGCAAGAGGCCAGTATAGACAGGCAACATGAATTTCTTGCGCAAGAAAGCCCGATGGCTAAAATGGCCATCGGAGCTTTCTTGCGCAAGACAGCATCTACACTGGCATGGATGCTTTTGTGCAAAAGCACATCTCTTGCGAAAAAGCACATGCCAGTGTAGATGCTCTCTTGCGCAAATAATTTAACGCAAAAACTCTTGCATTAAAAATATTTGCACAAAATCTTGCCAATGTAGACGTAGCCTATGGGTTTAGGCTCTTGCTTCCTATAATATCTGAAATTGTATATATATTTTTACAGATGATATGGGTTGTGACTTTCCTATCTACTGTAATACTGGGGCTTGCTCTTGGACTAGCAGCCTCAGTAGGATTTGAACTCCTCACCTTAGTGTTCCGCACACAGTTGTAAGTAAATGTTGAATGTAATATAAACCCTATCAAGACTGCATGTTGAAAATAAACACATTGAAAACATAGAAGGACAAATTTTCGAGGTCTCAATCTGGCCTGTAACTCTGTTCTCAGAATCAATTCTAGGAGATAATTCTGAATTCTAAGTATTATAAGTCAAGATAAAGCAATGGGAATGTTGTATTCTGTTCTCTGATCACGAGGAAAGGCATGTGAATCACAATTCAGTGTGACTGTCTAGATAGCTATAGCAGAGCTCGGTATGTTCATTATCAAGTATTATTCTGATTATTACTCAAGTGCATGACTGCCAACAGGCGCAAGGGTGGGTAAGAGGAACAGTTGCCTCAGGGCCCAGCAATTTAAAGGTCCCAGGGCTTCCAGCTAACACTACTACTATCTCAGCAGCAGCCAGAGACCCAGGGCCTTTAAATCACTGCTAGAGCCCCCTGAAACATGCACCTGCAGCCCTAGCGGCACCCAAGGGCTGGCTGGAGGAGGCTAGTTCTAGCCCTGCCCCTTCCACCCAAAGCCCTGCCACTTCCTGGAGGCCCAGAGCCAGGTCCTTCCAGGGCCCAGCAAAGTCTCTCATCAGCTCTGTTCATATCTATCACTCTTGCCAGTAAGAGTACAGGGATCATGGTCTGGCCCATGATAAGCTACAGCACTCTGCCAGCATGGATATTCTTCTCCACTTTGAAAGACTCTTAGACTGATTCCATGACCAGTACAATTCTCATTAAAGCTGAGATCCTTTTATCAGCCATTAATGCAGTACAGCTTTAAAAGAGAAAGATAAGACTATTAAGACAACGGCAATTGTTCATTCCATTATGTCCCAGCATAGTGTATAAATAACTTGGTTTGTATTTATTTGCAGTCCAAAGTGCACTGTTTTGGCTAATGTTGGAAGAAGCAACATCTACAAAAACAGAAAGGATTATGCAGATGTAAGAGCCTGTATATTATTTACATCATCTGTTGCATGCATTTCTGTGCAATAGATACCTGAAAGTAACACTCTTACTTTGTTGTATAGATATATGAGCCAGAGGGAGTGAAGATTTTCAGATGCCCAGCCCCACTCTTCTTCGCTAACATTGACTTCTTTAAGGACAAACTTATCGCTGCTGTAAGTTTTTTCTTAGCAATCACATTACATGAGTTACTTTGAGTCCAAATGAATGAATTACATAATAAATTAAAGTTAAATACAACTTAATAATAATAAATATTAACTTGCATATACAGCATGTTTGTGATTTAGTTACCCTAGAACTGAGCCCCGAAAGAATAGAAACACACAACCACAATTACCATTGTTGTCATTAGTGACTTCTAAAGACAAAAATGTTTAGGTTCATTTCCATCCCAAACTCTGGTTGGCATCCTAGGGGGTCTTCGGTGTTCACTTCAAATATTGCTTGCTTGCTGAACTTCTATTGTAATTATGTATTTTCTTAAAAGTTCGTCTGAAAATGATCACAAACACACGGGACACACAAGAGGGAGACTGTTATTTTTACTGTTTACATTGCAAAAGGACCAAAAATGTCTAGGCTCTCCCCAGATATAGAGAAAGTCATAGTGTTCCCCCAAATAGACAGGCAGAAAAAGGGGACAAGTGAAAGCACGTGAGCAAAGTGATAAGGGGATGATGGCCTACACCTTACTAAATAGATGTTTGGTGGCTGGCATACTGTTTAAAAACATTGCACCTCTCCCCTTTCATCATTCAGCATTACTGTCTAGCGCTCAAAAGGAACCCAGTTTCTTTATACCTCTGACTCCCACCACTCAGTCTCTTCCTTCTACACATATAGAAATACTAGAAGATTTACCCAGCATTGCTTGGGCCCTTAACTCAATTACATTTTGGGTTTTGGAAAATAAAATGAAAAGTGACATGCTTCATTTAAATCATTGCTCTGGGGTGGGGCGGGGGATGAATGGTTCAGAATGCAGGCTACCCTGGAAGGAAGAGGACTAACCCGGGCCTCTGTGACCTCAGCAGCTTGGGGTCAGATGAGAAGCACCTCTTCGTGGCTGCTGTAGCTCCAACGGGCACAGTCAGGCGAGGGTTCACGTCCCCTGATTGGGCAGGTCCAGGTTCGTGTGCCCTCTGTGCTCCCCAGCATGGGAAGCTGGTATGCTAGGTGGGAGAAGGCTCTGCCTTCCGAAATCACCAGCCTCGCCCCGCCAATACTGGGCCCTCACGATGCCTGCTGCAGGAATACTGGGGGCAGAGTGTTGCTGCCCCCTGAGCACCTGCTCTCCTCATGCTCTGGCTGGGGAGGCTGGAGCTGCATGCTACCTGCCCTCCCCACGTTTCCGGGCAGGGGAAGGCTGGGGCCGCACACCCTCCGTACTCCCTGTGCTCCAGGGCTGGGGAGGCTGAGGCACACATGCACCCGCCAGTCTTCCCTCTAAGATTTCCCAACTATGAGTGGAGTGAGTTTTCGCTTTGGCACCAATATTGAGGTCATGTGCACTGGTTTGGATGTGTGCCACTGTGGCACCCAATTTATTAACACACATACCTTCCCAGCTGCCAGAGCAGACCCCGCCCCACTATGCAGCAGGTCCCATTCCTGGCCCAAACCGCCAGAACAGGCTCCACCCCTCCCCCTGGCCATGTGACATGTCCCATTCCCGGCCATGTGGCAGGTCCCGTTCCTGGCTCCCCTGCCATATGGCAACCCCGGCCACTAGAGCAGGCCTCCTCCCCCACCACATGGCCACTGCAGGCCCCAGCCTCTGCCCCAGTGACCCTCTCACCACGCCATCTCATCCGGTGCCACCTGCTGGAGCAGCTGCCTACTGTGCAAGTGTTGCTGCATGGCTCTCCAGAGGAGATGGGTGGGGGAAGAATTTTTTGTGCACAACACATTGGCACCTGCCCTCCTCCCCTCTCTGTGGTGGTAGGGGTGCACATGGGGGGCAGGGCATTGGCAGAAGGGATGGGCTGGGGTGGGGCTGGAGGCTTGCCTCCCTCAGCTCTCCCTTTACCAAACACCCATGCTCCCCAGCCAGAGTGAGGAGTGCAGCAACAAACTGTGCACTTTTCCCTCGCTCTCTAACAAAGAGGAACAGCCAGAAATGTTCCTGTATGAATGGGACTGGGAGGGGGTCAGCCAGCACCTGGTGATAGGAGGTTCCAGGATGGGACAGTCCCAGACTTCACCTGCTTGCTGATTCTGTCTCTTTTCTGTATGGTATTATGAGAAGCAATCCGATGCCAGGCACAACCCATTGTCCTGGCACCACCAAACCCTTACCTTGCTTTTAAGTTATGATAAGAGGATGCTGTATATTGAATTTGGTGGTCCTAGCTCTTGCCATTTCGGAGGAGTTCCTGAACAGACAGACAGATGGACAGAGACAAACTCTCAAATATATAATAGATTACACGAAGCGAGGGTAATTTATTTATTATTATTAATAAGTTGTTCAGTCCTAAATTAAATAATCAAAAACTGAGTAGACAATTTAGCCTTGCAGAAAGAATAATTTCTCGAATAACTCCAGGGACAGTCTCCATTATCGAAGACATAATCCTATTCCTATGAGAGTACTGGCAATACTGAAGTCCAAGGCCTATTCACCCTGAAGAAGGGATTTCGGGAGGTCAAGTACAGACCCCTCTGCTGAGACAAACACCAAGTAAACATGAGCCGAAGCCTTTTGAACCTTGCTGTTGAGTTCAGGGGGCTTTGCATCAGGCCCTTTATTTATACCAGGAGATCCATTGAATACACTTGCATTACTCACAGCAGTGAGGTAAGAGAGATAATGGTCATAAAATAAAATAGAGAGTAGGCCAAACTCTAATCTCAGTTGTACCATGCTAATCCATTGTAAACATGTGAACCACTTTGTCCAGAATAACATCAGCTTCACCTCAGTGTGAAATGAGAATCTGGTTCAGAGACTCCCCAAAGAATTCATACCACTTGCATAAATGCAATAAAATAGCTTTCTCCGGCAAGTTCTGTGGTTAACTTTAATCCACAATAGCGAATTAATCTAAGTATGTTTTGGGTTTTTTTGTAACGTGATCACTTTCCAAGAATTTACTAGTACTAATCGCTTTGTAGAACAATAAATACCAAGTTCTCCCTCAGATCCAAGGATACTGCAAGGTTAATCAAGATGTTATTTTGCAGGTTGGTTTTAATCCATTGAGGGTACTGCGCAAGCGCAATAAAGCTCTGAGGAAAATCAGAAAGATGCTGAAGAGAGGAGAGCTGCAAATGACAGGTGTAAGTGTTGTATTATGTGGCTTTTTATCTAGCCTCTGGGATAAATTAGGACAGAGGTTCTCAGGCTGTGGATCAGGATTCCAAAGTGGCTCACAACACCATTTGAACAGGGTTTCCAAGGCTGGTGTTAGATTTGCTGGGGGCTGGAGCTGAAGCTGGGCTGAAGCTGAAGCTAGAGCCTGAGCCCCACCAGGGCTAAGGTAACATGCCCCCTGCTCAGGGTAGAAGCCCTTCAGCTTTAGCTTTGGGCCCCCCATCCCTGCCAAGCGCAGTGGAGCTTGGGCTTTGGGGCCCTTCTTAGGCTCATTTAGTAATTTTTTTTGTCAGAAGGGGGCCATGGTTCAGCGAAGTCTGAGAACGACTGAACTGGGGGAAAGCTGTTCAAAGGCACAGGGGAGACTTAGGCACCCTGTTTTCATGGATTTTCAGTGGGAGCTGAAGCCCAGATCCTCAGAGAGCAGAGTTAGACACCTACCTAGATTTGAGGATCTGTGTGTGGGTACCTAACTGCCCAGTTTCTTTGAAAGTCTCCCCCATGTTAATACAATGCCAGGCTGGATAAGTAATTCCACATATTACCACTTGTTAATGTGACAGTCTGCTGGCTGAGCCAGCTCTCTGCCATTACAGCCTGGCTGAAATGGCCAATTACAGCCAGCTGAGCAATCCCAGGCCTAAAGGACTAATGGAAGCAGATGTGGGCCTCATTAGCCAGAGAGCTATATAAGGTAGCCAGAGTGGCAGGAGTGGCTCAGAAGATTGAGAGTAGCTGGATGTGTGTGCTGCTCTGTGTAATGCCCCTAAAAAAAAAAGGGGGGGGGGGGGCGGGGGCACTGAGCCAGAAGGAGATGGTAGCTAAGTTAGCTGCTGGGGAAAACCAAGCTCTGTAAATAGAAGGTGGTGGGAAGTTGGTACAACCAATAAAAGACACGGGTGGTTGCACAAGAGAGGGTCTCCTGGTGATTTGTGGCTGAAAAGGGGGTCCTAAGGCAAATGGCCTGGGCTAGGACCTTGCTGCATTAAACTAAATATAAGCTTCAAAAATAAGATTAATATATACGCCCTGGTCCACAGTCTTAGGCAAATTTTTCTTGTCTTTGGAGGGAGCTTTGTTTGCCTTCTGGCTGTAGAACTAGGTCCCAAAGAGGAAAAAATTTTGAGCTATGGCTAATGTTGGCTCACAGCTGTACTTGGTTTGCTCTGAGGAAAAATCTTTCACAATTTTTATGGGCCTGATCCAAAGCCCACTGAAGTCAGAGGAGTCTTAACATCCAATAGGCTATGGAGTATGCACTAAATCCATGATTAATTGGGACAAAACTGGAGGAGGGGGAGATTTCCTTCTAATCAAAAGCACAAGTGGCGAGTCATGCTGCATTCAGTCAGTGCTTCCGCTCTCCAGTGCCTCAGTGTAACACACACGTCTACATCAATGTGTACTCATATTTCTGGACAGCCCTGGAAACTGCAAGATTTACTTTGATGACCATTTCTTCTCTTTGATACAGAAATCCTTTATTTGCACTGTTACTGGTCTGAAGGATTCTGATGAAGAACTGGACAACAATAAAATAGAGGAGCTGGATCAGCCAACTAACATGGCAGACTTGCCATTTCAAATTGACTGGAGTGCAGACCTTCCTGCCAACATCACTGTGCCTAGAATTGACATCCACAGCCTCATTCTGGATTTCTCAGCAGTATCATTTTTTGATGTTTCTGCCTTGAGAGTCCTCAGAGAGGTAAATTTCCTTTCATGAAACAATTAGCCAAGGCTTACAAGTAGAAAAAATATAAATACTATGTTTCTTAAAGGTATGCCTGTCTGTATATAGGAGATCAGTAATAGACTGTATACTCAGTAGCTGTGTCTACATTGGCACGATCTTGCATCAAAGCAGCCGCTTTTGCGCAAAAACATGCTGCCTGTCTACACTGGCAGGGAGTTCTTGCGCAAGAACACTGACATTCTAATGTGTGAAATCAGTGCTTCTTGCGCAAGAACTATGATGCTCCCGCTCAGGAATAAGCCCTTTTGTGCATCTGTTCTTGCGCAAGAGGCCAGTGTAGACAGGCAACATGATTTTCTTGCGCAAGAAAGCCCAATGATTAAAATGGCCATCGGAGCTTTCTTGCGCAAGAGAGTGTCTACACTGGGACGAATGCTCTTGTGCAAAAGTACATCATTTGCGCAAAGGCACATGCCAGTGTAGACACTCTCTTGCACAAATACTTTATGCAAGAACTCTTGCATTAAAGATTATTTGTGCAAGATCATGCCAATGTAGACATAGCCAGTGGCTGGAGCTAGTAGAAAATTTTCCATCAAAACCACTTTTCCTCAGAAAGTTGGGCTTTCAATTGTGTGACTTTTTTTTTTTTTTTTTTTTTTTTTTTTTACAAAAAGTGTCTGGGTTCCATGGAACATGTTGAGTTTTCATTAAAAACGTTTCAGTGTTCAGTTGTTTGACAAAAAGTTAAAATTTTTGTTGGAAAACTTTGATGAAATCTATTTTTTTTAAATTTATCTAAATTTTCCAGTCAATGATATCAATTGCTATACATGCCTGTGTTAGACTAATAACGGGTCTGGAAGTTTTACAGAATTAAGGTCTGAATCATGATCTGGGGTTTTAAATATAGGACTGGGAACCAGAACCCCTCAGTTCTGTTCCTGTTTCTGTCAACTTCCACAATCACCTTGGACAAGTCACTTTGACCAAAATTTTCAAATATAAACACCTACCTATGTTCATTAGGTGCCTATGTATAGTAGGCTTATTTTCATATGAACTGAGATCCACAGCTTCCATTAACTTCAGAAAGACTTACAGCACTGTTTTGAGCTTTATGTTTGAAAATTCTGTCCTTAAATTTTTGTAATCTCAATTTTTTCCACTATAAAATAGGAGCAATGAGGCTTTTCCACTCTGGGACATTGTCTTTCCATTAAAGATTTTAATTTTCAGCATTTATCAATATTATCTAAAACTGATCTTTTTCTTTTTTAATTTATCTTACAAAAAAAAGGTTAGCTTCAAAGTCCAGTATCAATCTAAAAAACCTGTGCCCATTAAAATTAATGGAAATTTTATCACTAACTCTAATGGCCACCTAAATCCATTAATTTGTGCTCAAAATACATATGCTATCTTACAGCTGTACAGTATACCTGCTATAGAAAATTACTGCCATTGCTGTTGAGTTCATGGCAAAACAGTTAAGGCTGTGTCTACACTGGGCCACTTATTCTGGAAAAGCAGCCGCTTTTCCGGAATAAGCTGCGAGCTGTCTACACTGGCCCCTTGAATTTCCGGAAAAGCACTGACGATCTACTGTAAGAAATCAGCTGCTTTTCCGGAAAAACTATGCTGCTCCTGCTCGGGCAAAAGTCCTTTTTTCGGAAAACTGTTCTGGAAAAGGGCCAGTGTAGACAGCCCAGTAGTCTTTTTTGCAAAAAAAGCCCCGATTGCGAAAATGACGATCGGGGCTTTTTTCCGGAAAAGCGCGTCTACATTGGCCATGGACGCTTTTCCGGAAAAGCATCCTGCCAATGTAGACGCTCTTTTTATGGAAATACTTATAACGGAAAACTGTTCCGTTTTAAGCATTTCCGGGAAAAGGTGCCAGTGTAGACACAGCCTTTGTCTCTAAGCAATGCCTGGTTTCTGTTTAACAGATTTTAAAAGACTTTATCCGGATTGATGTGGATGTGTATATTGTGGGAGCACACGGTAAGTTCTTCCATTTCCTGAATCTTGTTTTTAAGCAACCAGTTGTTCAATCAATGTCTATCAGTTATGCCTCTTCTAGCAACATACTGCTTTGCTTGACTGCTATATACAATTGGACAGGACAAACCGATTTTTTATATTTATCTTTAAAAGCATCTGAGCAAACCCAGATTAAAACAATCTTACAGGAATCAGCGGTACTGATTTTAATTGATTAAAACTAACCAAACTAAGCAGATTTGAAATGAGAAAGATTTTACTGGCTAAATGAGGATAAAAGGAAATGTAAATGTGACCAAATGTGGATAAAAGGGAATGAGACCCAGCTGTGTAAAAATATCTGCACCCACCCTAAATACCCCTGGATCTATTTTTCCCCTCTCAAGGTCTTGAACCACCTCCCCACCCCCACAATTTCCTCATCCCACCAGAGTGAGGTTCAGTCCACTTGTGAATATTCAAACTTGCAAACCTTTTGTCCCTTACAAGTTAGCATAAGGCATGCAGGATGGGCCTAAATGAGAAGACAAGACAACAAGGGCCAATTGTCCTCTCCCATGCATCTTGTATCATGACTTCTGTGCAAAGTGCACAAAAGGAGGATGTGAAAGGCTACCAGATCAGAATGGTACTGTCTGGTGCCCACTTGGCACAGTGAATGCTTGGGTTACCAACTGTAATCACACAAAGGCCCTTGCCCTGTCCCATCCCCTTCCCTGCCCTTTCTCTGAGGCACAGCCCCATTCACTCCATCCCCTTCCCTCCCTTTCACTGGATTGGGGTGCAGACCCTGGCCTAAGGCCAAGGGGTTTGGAGTGTGGGATAGAGATCTGGGGTGGGGCATGAAGTTGGAGTTGAAGTAAGCACCGTCTGACTTGAGCACCCCTCACCCCCTTGTGCAACCCTAGCACAGCAGAGTTAAAGCAGGCTCCCTGTCTGCCCTGGCTCTGTGTCACTCCCAGAAGCAGCCAGCACATCCCTGTAGCTCTTGAAGCTCTTATTTGCTGTGGTTCCTGACCAATGAGAGCTGTAGAATCAGCAGTCAGGGTGGGGGCAGCATAAAAAGACCCCTTACCTACCCTTCTCCCATCTAGGTGCAGTAGGGATGTACTAGCTTCTTACAGGAGTGGCACTGAGTCAGGGCAGTCAAACAGGCTGCCTTAGGCCTACTGCACTGCTGGACTTTTAGCAGTTAAAAACTTCCCTGGTTGGCTTCAGTAGCCTCCAAGAGATTAAGCCTAATTCCAAGAGATTCCTGGCAAAACTGGGAGGGTTGGCGATTCTAGCAAATGCCCAAGGGGCAAGATGTTGGAGAACCAGGCCTTGTGGCAGCCAAATTAACCCATTTTGATAGAAAATTCTGTTTTCATTCAAAAGCTATGCCAAGGAGTCAGTTTTGTCTTAACGACTGCAGGCTTCTGAGTCACTGGTGTGTGGTTTGATTCTGTTTTTCGGCAGATGGCTTCCTGGACAAGATGGAAAGATGTGAATTTTTTGATGAGGAGATCAAGCCCTCCATATTTTTCCTCACAGTTCATGATGCAGTTTTACATATTTTGGTAGAAAAGAGTATACATGATTCAAAGTCCAAACCCATGAAGGTAACAATGGTGCTGTTTATTCATCTCTGGAGTAACACCTTAAATTGCTCACAGTCCAATTGTTTACATAATCTCAAGAGGCTGGGTTATTCCCTCCTGCTAGGACATCCCAGGGAGGATGTGGGAGGCCCAGAAAATTGCATGCAGTGGAGTTCCCCAGGAGTCACCTGGAGGGGACAGGGCTAGGAGGCCTGTAATGAAGGCAGAGATATGGCCTTTCACTGTGATGGAGCCACAGTAAAGGGAATTCCCAGGTCCTTGGGGAATCAATGTATCTCCCCTCCTTCCTTGTAACTTGGCTTCTTCAGGATTGCCCTGCAGCAGCAGCAATTGTAGGAAAGACTCAGGGGGAAGAAATGATGCTTGAATTTGGATTCTCAGACCTTATCTACACTCAAGAGCTGCATTGATTTAATTAAATCTATTTACCAACTGATGTAATTAAATTGGTTCATGCCCCATCTGTGGCCTCTTGCTTCCGATTAAAAGTAGTGGATATAAATGTAGCTTTATTCAGCAAGGAATCAGCTCAAATTGAATCCATATGGGATACTCTTAAACTGACTGAAGGGTTTTCACACCAGTGGTACCAATTTAACCCCTAAACTGATCCAGTTAAATTGGTGCAACTTTTGTGGATAGACAAAGCCTCATTTCTGCCCAGATTTCTACATGGAATGCTGCAAGGCAGGTAAGGGATGAAGCCATTGAGAGCAATGCTCCCTCCTCCCAAGCCTGCTTCCACAGCGTGGGGGAGCACAGAAAGTGCCAGCACTGTAGGCTGGAAAGTGGGGCAGGAAAAGTGTCCTAGCGAATGCATTTTTACCAATCCAATCCCAGCTCCAGGACTCTGTCTCCTCCACTGGCACAGGGGGAGAGGGAAGAACACATTCACAAGAGTCACATTTTCTGAGTCTTTAAAGCAATATTACCTTTGAAATTACCTAAAAACAGAGGGACGTAGGGGATATTTCCTAATCCTGAGCCCTTTGTTCACAGCCGGAGATGGGAAGTGGTGATCATTTTATTATCAATACAAACGGTGAATTACGCAACCGGGAACACACGGTAAGGCTGCCCTTTTCCCTAACCTCCCTCCCCCAGCACATCAGCAGCAAGAGAAGATCACTTTTTAAACACGTTTTGGGCTGAAGTCAAGCACTTCTGAAAGGTGCTGCCTCACCTTTGCTTAGTCCAGGGACTAAGCAAAGAAAGCCCAGGCATTGGCCTCACAGGCTATGTCTAGACTGCAAGCCTCTTTCGAAAGAGGCTCTTTTGAAAGATACTTTCGAAAGAGCCTCTTTCGAAAGAGAGCATCTAGACTGCACGTTGAACTTTCGAAAAAGCGGCTTGCTTTTTCGAAAGAAAGCATCCAGTGAGTCTGGATGCTCTCTTTCGAAGAAGCCCAATTTACATTGAAGAACGCCTTCTTTTGAAAGAGGAACTTTCGAAAGAAGGCGTTCTTCCTCGTGAAATGAGGTTTACCGCCATCGAAAGAAAAGCCGCATTCTTTTGATTTAATTTCGAAAGAACGCGGCTTGAGTCTGGACGCAGGGGAAGTTTTTTCGGAAAAAGGCTACTTTTCCCAAAAAAAACCCTGAGTCTGGACACAGCCACAGAGTTACTCATTATGTTTTGTGCCCACCTCTAAGACTGTGGCTGCGTCTAGATTGGCATGATTTTCTGGAAATGCTTTTAACGGAAAAGTTTTCTGTTAAAAGCATTTTCGGAAAAGCGCGTCTAGATTGGCATGGACGCTTTTCCGCAAAAGCACTTTTTGTGGAAAAGCGTTCGTGCCAATGCAGACGCGCTTCTCTGCAAAAAAGCCCCGATCGCCATTTTTGCGTTCGGGGCTTTTTTGCGGAAAACAAATCTAAGCTGTCTATACTGGCCCTTTTTTGCAAAAGCTTTGTGCAAAAGAGACTTTTGCCTGAATGGGAGCAGAATAGTACAGGCAGTCCCCGACTTACGCAGATCTGACTTATGTCAGATCCGCACTTACGAACGGGGCTTTTCTCACCCCGGAGCTCACGGGCGGCGGGTCGCCACCCATGTCCTCCGGGGCGAGAAAAGCTTCTCCCGGTCTCCCTGGTCTGCGGGGGGGGGTCCAGCAAAGCCACTGGACCCCCCCAGCAGACCAGGGACACCAGAGCAGGGGGACAGCTCAAGCGCGCCCGGGCTGTCCCGCTGCGGGCGTGCTCCGCGGCTTTGCTCTCTGTCTCCCTGGTCTGCAGGGAGACGGGGAGCAAAGCCTTGGAGCAAAAAAGCAGCGGGATAGACTGGGC